CTTTGGTGTGGACATCCTCCATCGTTTTCTCGTTCAGACTGTCGTTGTCCATGTCTTTGTTGTTGGGTTTATATATGTTCCCTTGTTTTCGGATAAACGGCGAATGTAGAAACTCCTGCAAAGAGCCGGGGGAGACAGAAGGAGAAGAGGGTGAAGAGGAGAAGGAATAGTGTGTAGCGCGCTGAGAGAGAGAGCGACTGGAGCTGCAAGTTACCAGGCTTCCCCACAAACAGGGATGGGTTTAAGTGAATAGAAAGTAAAGTACCACACCCCTTCATCCAGCCGCAAGGGGTCCTCACCACCCAGACACTAATCCAGTATGTTAACATGACATACAGTTGATTCAACGTGTTGTCTACCCATGGCAATGGAAACACTTTTAAGAAACGTGCAAAGGCGTTATTTTTTAAATATGAACGACTCTCCAATTAATACTCTTCCTACACGAAAAATATATATTTAGAAAGTAAAGAAAATCACGAATTCAGTTATATTTGCAATGCCATTTGTAATATGTTCACATTAATTATGGAAAAAACTTACTGGACCTGTGTTTTTCTTATCATTTAAAAATGCGTAAAGACCCCTTTGGCTTCTATGATCCTCCTCAATCCTACGAGTCAAGCGCCTTGTGTTATTACGCACACCACACGACTTCAGTTGGCATTAAAGGACAGGGGAGATTTGTGACTGAAATTCAGAATTTTACGGGGAAAAAAAATGGATTTGTTTCCCCCTTGTTTAACGCATGGAAATGTACAGTTTAAACGTTTGTGCGTAAATAATCGGTTACTGTGCTGAAAGAGGACCTAACAGGTAAAATCCTCACACCCACATTCTAATGTAAACTGCATCGACCTTCGCATTCTCTTAGCCTGTGTGGGAGAAGTGCTCATGACTGGGTGCCAGAGCGCAAGATAAGGACAGAAACATAGCGCACTCATTTCCCCCTCGTGAACGCATTCTTTTCTTTTTTTTTCTCTTTTTTTGAAGGGGGGGGGGGGGGGGAGAATAATCAGCTTCTGTAAGAAAAGTAATGTCAGCTACAAACAAACAACCACAAATTAAAAGAACTACAGCTGAGAGCTATACTGTACCTCTTCTGTCTCGCCGTCCTTCGGTCCTCCTGTCATGCTGTCCTCACGTTTGGAGAGATTAGCACGTTGAAACAGACAAAAAAAAGATAATATAGGAAACAGAGAGGGAGGCGTGGATGCAAACTGGGAGGACGGGGTCTTTCTCTCAGAGTCCTGTATAGTGAAGTTATTCCTGCCCTTTTTGTTGGACGTGACTAAAATTCAGTGGACAAGCGCGTACGGGGAAACCTCCAGTGTTTCCTCGGATACCGCAGAGCGCAGCTGGGGAGTCACCAGTGAGCAGACAGGAGAGCCACCCTGGAACCTGCTCGGCTGGAGGAGAGACTGACGTGATCTCAGACTGAAAGGGTGTTTGTAGCCGGCATGGAATTTCTTATTTAGGGATCACAGCAGAGTATAATAAGTTTTTTGTTCAGTGAAACGTGGGAGTTAATTGAACCTGGCAAGGTGTGGACACTTGCCATACCTTAGCCTACGGGGAAAAATCCAAGTGGTTATAATGGATAGAGGGAAGAAAGAAATATGTAGTTCAGCTATTTCAGCACATCTAAAGTCACGCCTGTCATCAGCTGCTTCATAAGATCACATTTATATTTTGGTTAGTGAACCCAGTTTTTCAAGGTGTCAGCTTCATCAGGTTTTGAAGTTGTGCTGGCCACTCTGGTCTGTTTACATTCTTGTGTCAGCTCATCGTGGAGAGACGCCAGCTGGCACCTTGCTGTTTTCAGCCAGAGGGACTGCAATAGAAACAAGTTTTAGGTGCGTCTCACTGGCGTGTCAATAAAAGAAACGGATTGGCACAATGATGAAGTTGTTTTTACATTTTTCAAAGCTCTCATTTGCTTTTAGTTTTAGAGCAACATGCACAGAGATGTCAGCTCTTGCCTTCCTCAGTGTGAAAGCTTATCTCAGTTCAAGGAAGAGTAACTCCTCTTTGCTGTTTATTTTGAGGAGCACCTTATTTCTTATTAACTCTGGGCTATTCATTTACTATCTTTATCCTGTAATTATTCTGTTATTTAATTTAAACACTTTGCTATCTACTCTATCTCCAGGAACTTCATTTCAATTGTTTATTGATGATTGTAGCGCCAATAAACTATTACAAACAAAACTGGTGTGCATTTGTTTGTGATAGCAACATGAATGAACTTAAGGAGCAAGAAAGAAAATAATACAAATTAATAAAAATTAAAACCATTTTTAATTCATTGAAAGTTATCTATAAACAAGGGAGGCAAAAATGATTAAAGTAGATGAGTAATTGGGAAAAATGGATGAATATTTTCTCGTAATTAAACAATTGTATTAATAACAGTAATAGCTAATAGTATCTCCACACAGTGGAAGTAGGTAAAGTGATGAATGATTAAAACTAAAGGCTAAAAGCTATTGATGAATTATTACAAGACCTAACCATTACTGAAAAATTATTAGTTGAACATAATAGCTGAGAAAATATTGCTGTGTGGCTTTATTGCTGAGAATCATAACACGAGGAATGAACAAAGGGAGAAACCTAACTTTGAGACACAGGAGAAAGAAACACACAGTTTGGCAGAAGACAAAGGGAAAGCCAGGCAACACACACACCAGGTAATTACGGAGATAGGAAACACCAGGGAACACAGCTGAATGGAATCTAAGGAGACAATGGGAAGCTTAACTAACACAACCTACAGGAGATGAGTGACTATCAGAATAAAGCAGGAAGCAACAAACACTGAGACCAACACATGTGAACTTCACACAGCGGCAGGAGATAACTGCAGAGACATGACTGACTGAGGAGAAAGGGAACACAAAAGATGATAACAAAAGATGACATAATCTTATGAGAAACACAGACTGGAAAGAAAGGGAAACTAAGAAGCACAAGGAAACATTATGCTGAAAGGACTGGATGCAAGAACAAAATCCAAGGCAAAACAAACTCACAGAAAACTCAAAACGCTGGAACCATGACAAATATATACTGTAAGCTGAAAATATTTCAGAATCCCCCAGTCATGTCTGTCCCATTTGTAGCAACTGAAAATAAAATAAATTCATAATTATAATAAAGGTCAATCAAATGGACCAATATGGCAAGGCCATGATGATCCACTTGGTAAAATAAATCCGCTTGGCATCTTTCTTGGCCTTAAGACAACAATTCTGATGGCCAAAGATCCAAACGGGACACAAAAAAAAAGAAAATATTTCAGAAATGTTTAAAATGCATAAATAGTATAAGCATATGTCTAAATTGTTGAAAAGGCTAAAAGTAATGCATAAATGCTCAAATCTGTATGGAAGTGAATAAATAGCTTTGACCAAACTCACCAGTGACAATTTGATTGTTTTACTCAACATTTCAATAAGCAGGTGTACAAACTTCTTCAATAAATTCAAGTGGAATGAGTTCAAGTGGACACGTTTGAACATGGCACCATGTAGGGATACAGGACTGTGTTGGTTCCAGTTTAATACAATTACAGTAAAGTGCAGACGTATAATGTCATACAAGACACCAAATAAAATTGTTTTTAAAAACCTGAAGCACTAATGTTTCCTTGGCCCATAATGTTAAGATAAAAGAGTGCACCAATGAAGGTTTTGTAGACTTCAGTTGTTTGCATTTTGCTTCATTGTCTCTGCAAAAGAACAAGTCTTGTGTAGGCATCATTTTTCTTCTTGCTTTCCTTTATTATGAAGTACTGTAATGCTTTTTCTTTTTGTTTTTTAGAAAGCTATTCTATGAATAAACACCTGGTTAGCCTCCTTGAGTTCACTGGGTGTGGCACTGAAGTGAGATCAAAATAACCAAATGAGCACCTGCTTCAAACAAAGATGTTACTTTGCTGAAGCCTGGAAGAGAAGCTTACACAATCTGCTACTAACACTGTGGAAAATATTAGCAAATTTAAGTAACATTTGTGCAAATAAGATTGCACATTGTGCACTAGCATGACTTTGTTTATGTAAGCTGAGGTGCAAAAAAGATTGTGAACTGTGGCAAATTTCAGATGATGCAGTTTAAGTTGATGCTGAGAATATTAAAAACACTTAATTGCCACTCAGAACACTGAGAAGACAGAATCTCAAACAACTCATCCAGCACCAGTGCCAGAGGTAAAAAGTCATGAGGATATGGAACAGCAACTGGATTCATTACACATTAGTGTCAATTGCTTAGAAATTACAAGCAAACTTATTATAATTTGCATTTGCGCAAAATTAAGTGGAAACAATACTAATAGAAATTCTTGAGTATCAGGACGGAGTTAACTGTGATAGGAGAATAAACATAGCCATAAGGGTATCAGGTCAATGCAGGATCATTTTTTTAATTATTGCTTTTTTAAACATATATGAAATGAAATTTTTACATTGCATGATATGCATAGGGCAGCAACAGCAGTGTGGTGCTTAGCACCATTACCTCAGAGCAAGAAGGTCCTGTGATTGGCTAGCTGAAGCTATTTATCAGACAAAAAGAGAAATGCCAGACACAACAGCTCAACTTGCACCTCAAAATATTTTATAATTTGAAAACTCAGCTTTAGATGGACAGAGTTCAAGAGAGAACTGTGTTTGAGTCTCTTCATTTGGTCAAAGGGGAACATCATGAATGTCTGGATAAGAGACTACTCTTCATAAAACAAACAAACAAAAAACTTCTGTGTAGCATTATGAGTGTTAATGCCACGCAGGCGTGCAAATCTAACAGCTAAAGCCTCAGGTCATGTTCCATCAATGCACAGCTCATCTTTGTATAGGAAAGTGTGTTATGAAATCTCAGCAAAGTGATTTATGAGACTATTTTGGCACTCACCTGCACATCACAACCACACTCATCTACTGTGACAGAAAGAAGAAACCACACACAGAAGAATTACCTTAAGGAAAAAAAAAGATCTTTATTTTTGTCATGAAGGACATATTTATTGTTAAAATAAGAGTTTCATTCCAAAATGTGTCAATGTTGTGTAAAACAGTAACTAGAAAAATTTAAATCAAACTCATAAAAGTAGCATCATTACTGTTAAAAGTAAAGTAGTTTAAGTAGTTTTACTTTAGTGACAAGTGAATACCTTACAGTATTATAACGTTTTGTCTTTAATGAATATATAGCCTGCGCTAGAATAAAAAGCCCAGATAAAATGTTGTGGTTTCATGCTGCTGCTGCACACAACTGTCTTCCACCTTCAGTTGTACAACTCTACTTTAATGGTCATCCGAGAGCTGACCACAAAGCCCAACAAAATGCATTGAAACAAAGCATTGCATCATACAGCCTTCAGCTTTTTGATTTAAATGTTCAGCAGGTTAGCCAGCAGTGCAACCACCAGTACATGCCAATGTAGCTTTTATTTCAACTGATTCATCTTCCTTGAAAAATCTGAATTGTGATCTACTATAAACTTAATTGCACTGAACAAGTTTAACTTTTGTTGTGTGTCCCTTTCGGATGAACCCATTTTACTATCTCCAACAAGAGACTACAACGTTAGCGACTAGCTTCTAATGAAACTATAGCATCTACTTAAAAATTCTGATATTTGTTACAAGACTACAAAGGACTGCAGAAACTCAAATATGTGGAAATGTTGGTCAGTGTCACCTGGATGTAGCATCTGTTTATAACATGAGCCACAACAGTGAGATAATACAGTATGTGAGAGGTATACAGGCGTTTTAGCTTGCTGTCAAGTTTTTCAGACTTCAAACAGTAAAAGCAACTAACCAAGCAACAACATACACATTCTCATCCCGAGGCACCAAACAGGAGGTATAGCTGGAAATGTATACCCATCACTCACTGCTTGGTAGTGTAAGATTATAAACTAAAGCTCTGAAGATCAGTCCAAATGGCAGCAAATAACCTAGCGTTTCCTTAGTTGGAATCCTAATCAGGTATTTTTATGAGAGCTGATGCAAAACCTTAAAGGCTATTTTGAATTTTCAGTGTGATAATCCATCCATCCACTGCAGGGTGGAAAGGTTCTGGAGTCTATCCCAGCTGTCATAGAGTGGGAGGCAGAGTACATCCTATAAATCACCAGTCCACCCCAGAGCTAGCACAGAGACATACAGTCATCCAGGCTTATTCAAACCTACAACCAATCTAGAACCACTAAGCAACTCATCATGCATGTCTTTGGGCTGTGGGAGGATGCCGGGCACCTGGAGAGAACCCACGCAGGCACAAAGAGATCATGCAAACTGCATACAGAAAGGCCACAGCTGGCCAGCAAATTCATATCTCTTGCAGCGATGCAACAGTGCTACCCACTGTGCTTCCCTGTATGTTGTTACAAAAGTAGTCACAGATTTCTAAAGAAGAGGAAATGTAACAACCATCTCATTACTGGAATGAACATATGTTGTTCAGTTCTGTCAGTGGCTTTGACAGAAATAATTTCTTTTGACGGTCTGGGAATGAGAAGGGATGTGCGGACTATACCAAAGTTTGGTTTTAGACCGTGAGTGTCTAAGGTGGGTTTGCACTTGACAGAAGTGCACAGTGAAAACAGTACAAAAGCAAACAGACATATGAGCATGTACCTGACACGCAGACCTGACTGCTGCACTGATGCTCTCAATAACACATTTTAAACTTTGGACTGTGCAGATCATTGCAAGTAGGAGCTGTGCAAGCTTATATTTCAAATTAAACATTTATCAAAACCACTCCAAAATGGTAAAAATCATGTCATTTTTTAAATGAATTCCAGCTGTAGAAGTATTCCAAATCCCAGCTCACTAAGCTGCTGTGCTGCAGTAAACAGAGCTTATCCAAAATGCATGTACCACAGTCTCACTCAGCTCAACCAAGGCTTCAGTCGAATGAAATACGGAACTCCTTCATCACACTGTAGTAAAGTCTTTTGATGTCAGTGTCTGTCAATCAAGAACTAGTTGTCCCATAAATAATAAATTAGAAAGGCCCTTCTAAAATGATCTACAATCCTGTTTATATAACATAATTAAATAACTGTATGCTCCATACATAAGCAAATGCCCATTATTATTGCTGATACAGTAAAATAAGGCTGCAAATGTGCAACAAGCTGCTTCATAGCGCTTAATATTCCAATAAACTGCTCTTGAGCAAACTATTCGGTTCATTACATTAAACTTCCAGCTGAATGCTTAATAATATACACAATATATATAGATAAAAAAGCAAAAATATTACATCTCTTAGCAAGTCAGCAATATGTTAGGTTGAACAGCAACAATTTTTACCACTCTGCCACCCACAAAGGAATGGAATGACAAACATCTTTTGGTCACAATCAGCAAAACAACTCCATTTTGGGTGGTGCAAACAAGCTGTCTGCAAATATATGAGGGTTTCATTAGATGACTGCATGTGCAGATTTGCTTATTTGCAAGTCATGTTATTTGCATTGTGTCTTTGCTTGATACACTGAAAAGGGTTAGTGAAATATGTTCATAGCATATCTTAAACTTCTAATTTTCTAATGTTTTAACCTGTTAGCAGTCGGACGTACCGCCCACGGTACATTGGATGGTTTAGGGGACTAATTGTAAATTTGTAGGACTGCTAAGGGGTTAACCTTGTTTCGCTTAGACTGAACACAGGTGTGCTTTTGCTGTTTCAAACCATTCATTTGATGTGTTCTGAGAAAAAGCAGATCAGATTATATGTTTGACAAACTTAGCCCTCATGGCCACATTTTTCAAAAAAAAAAAAAATCTACAGAATATTACTTTGCAATAACATCCACCAGGATATCATATTTCACTTAGAGCTGATGTACCGTATCCTACTTGCTTCAGTCACTCTTTCGTCACTGACTCCAGTCCCCCCGGCACATTTCTTTCTCCCCAGGGACAGAAGTTTCAGTTTTCTGTAGCCTTGACTTGAATGGAGGACAAGATTTTCCCCATACTGTGGAAAAGCGGTGTTACGAGAATGTCCGTCAGACTCCTCCACACAATGTGGATAGACGGTAAGAGCATCATGAAGCTCTGGATCATAGGCATCACCACCCTGGAGGAAGAAGGTCAGAGGGTCACTTTTCTAGGCATGGAGGTTTCATCACAGATTTCTGTTTTAAACTAATTTGTGTTGCCAGAACAGTTGCTCTTGTTATTGTCTCAGCTGTTAAACAAGTTTATAGGTCCTGTCTAGGAAAAAGATGAAAGATGGTCATCATACTGCATTTTGAAGTTTGTTTCAGTGTATTGTGAAGCTATTTCCTCCCTTGGACTAACACCCCCTGTGTATGGTCTCCTGATACACTGCCCTGTTCTGGTGATGCCTACCTGTGCCTGACTTTCTCTTAAGCTTATAAGCCCCAAGAGAGCTCAGTTAGGTGAAAGGTCATGTACAAATTACTCTACAGTGCTCCGTGCACATCTAAAGAATGTCCCACTCTGCTCTGAAAACAGGCTCCAAATGCTGCTAGAGCACCCTCTAACTGACATGGGACATAGGACATTTTTTCCATCACTACTAGGGGAACTCAATGTTCCTCACAACTTTCCATAAGGTGTTCATTACTCCACATAAAATGTTGTTTCATCAAATAGACTCTTTGGGTTTTGGTTGAAGCTCATGAGCGCTAAAAACCTAGCAGCACCTGGGTGCTGCAGACATATAGAGCTGACATAAGCATGACATAATTTTCCAAATATAAGAACAAATTGCTGACATAATGTTTCAATGCCACACTGGATATGATGTTGACTGTAAAAATAACCTGTGTCAATGTTTGCCTAAAGAACAGAACAAATATAGTGGAAAGCCGCAGGAGTTCATAATGTTGATGCGATGATCTAAACAAGGTAAACAGAATAAGGTAATAATTAACGTAACGCTCTTGGAAATGTTGATATTTTGCATACTAGTTAATCTTTATGAATTAAGATGTCTTCTCTACAAATATTCTACTAATCTACTGTAAGTTCACTGCTTCTCAACATTAATTTGTTACAGTGGGATCATTCGTGTGTTCACATATTGTTGTCTGAAAATACTGTTTAGCACAACATCGGGACCTTGCTGCCTGAGAACAACTCCTTACCAGATGTGAACACAGCTGAGCACTCCAAACACTATCCCCAGGATGAAAGCCACGGGCACAGCAAGCAGAGTAGTCAACAGGCGGTAAAAACCGAATTTGACCAGCTCAAAGGTGGCGTGGCTTCCAATCCACACTCTGTCAAAACTGTGTGTGGAAATGGGTTCCGCGATGACATCTTCAAAGCCCACCTGTTAGGTCACAAAAGTCATAGGGCAAGCAATAAAAACATAATCAGTAAACCGAGGCAGGAAAGTGTTTGAATGTGATGGATTAATGCGCAGGCAGCGACTTCCAGGTATTCATACTGCAGATTAACAATCTTGCTGGACTACAAAAACCAACCATTCAATAATAGTGCAATAGGCTATACAAATAATTCATCTGGACAGCCTTCACCTTTTGTAGTTTCAATTTCAAAGTATCACCCAACACATCGCACAGACTTTACCTTCAGATGTGGGTTGATATCGTTTGGATCTCTGTCGGGTGACGCTGTATACACTTTCCCCTTGTTCGATAGAATGGGCTCTATCGATCTGTTGAACTCATCTTCGTCCATAATTATGCTGGTATCCAATTTCTCCTTCTCTAAACCCATTTTGTCGAGTCAGGCCGGGAGACGGTGCAGGGAGAGCGGCTGGTGACGGTGCGCTGTGCGCTGTGCGCCGGACTCAGTGGCACCCCGCCCCGTACGGAAGTCAGCGCAGCGTGGAGCAGAGGAGACACAACAAGCCCAAAGTCACTTCCCTGGAGCATTTCAACATTTTAGCAATGAGAGACGCCACTGTGCACTTTACTGGACTTGTATCATGAGCCATTGAGTCCCAACAGTCCTCAGGGTTAATTACTGGCTAAACAAACTAGCCTTTTATAGACATGTGATTGAGTGCGATTATTACACAGCCTGCAAGGCTTTTCTTCTCACAGCCCCAAAACTCATATTTATATATATAAAAGGTTTGTTATTTGTGAAGTTTTTCCAAAACAAACAGCGATGCTTTGGGAAATGCATCCACCTACATTCCATGTCTGCTTTGCTCCAGGCCTTTTATTTTGGAAAGGTACACCGAGATGTTTATTGCCACAATAATTTGTAATGTACAAAGCCTGGTTATTATTGTTGAGCACAATGTTCCACCTGTTGAGCTGATTTACCACATATTTTCTCTTTTGGTTTTTGGTCTGCACAGATTTATTGCCCTCTGACTCTTTCATCCTCTGAACCCACCAGCCAACATTGTTAGAATAACTGCAGGTCTTCAGATGTCTAAAGAGGAACAACAACAGGAAGACATTCTCCTCAGGCTGTTGGAGAAGAATTCGCTTCTGAAGACAAAAGTTTTACAACTTCAGAAAGTTGGTTAGGGGTTAACTTTGAGTCATTTTGTGATGCTTATGATGCTGCTAAACTGCAGTTAAAATATGAAGATATGGTTATCGAATCATAATAGGACAAGAGGGTGGTAGTAGCTCAAGAAGGAAAACAAGTCATCTACTAATTGTATGGTTGGTGGTTCAATCCCTGGCTGCTCCACTCTGCATGCCAAACAGCTAGATATTAACCAAGTTGCTCTCCAATGCGTCCATCAGTGTATGAATGTGTGTGAATATTAGTTAGAAAGCACTTGCATTAAAGAGACAAATTGACCAAAACAGAAAAGTGCAGTCTGTTTACACACTTGTGTTTTCTGGAGTTAGTAAACATGACAGTTTTCTTAAACAGTTCAGTGTGTTCAGTTTGTCATATCTTCAACCGTGAAAATATCTGAATGTTTGGGAAAAGAAACATTTAAACCCAACTAAATGTTAATATTCAGGATACGAAAGACATGAAATTACGCTACTGTATTAGTGGTAGCATTGTACATCTACCAATGAGCTTTCAGCAGAAACTGAGACAGATTTGATTGTTTAATCTCTCCTATGCACTTATCTCTAAAAAAAAAGATGCTCTAAGTATTTTTCTTTTCCAAGGATGCAATCAGCTAAAGTCCTGTAAGAACAAGATTATTACTAGTGCCTTCTAAACTGCTAGAGAAAACTAAACATGCTCTGGAGTGGGCTGGGAAAAAATACAGAAAAATGTGTTATTTACCAATAAATGTCAGACAGTAGTGGCGATAATAGAAAGGTATATTATATACAGGTATATATAGAAGACAAACTGAAGACAGAATGATACCAAAGTGTATTAAAGTCAAACCCAAAGTAAACCACAGTGTTGGCAATATTGAAGTTTGGTAGTGTTTTGTGTCCTACTGAGTCTTATACCTGCAATGAATCGACACCACTCTTACCAAAGAGAAGTGGAACTTTTTTGTCCAAATACCTACTCCACCCTCTTCTTTGTTGTGGAAAAAGGATTACTATTGCAGGAGTCACTTGATGACCAAAGAAGACTAAAGAGTGCTGACTGTGGTGGACTCTCCTCTACAGTCACTTAACCGCAGCCTCAGTTAACAAACCAAAGATTTCTGAAGGTCATTGGAAAATTGACGGACCGTGCTGTGATAGCATGGATTATGTGATTTTAAAGGGGTAAACAAAAGAAATAGAAATTACTGCATATATGTTCAATGTGATAGTATATGAAGGATAGGTATGCTGTAGTTTTTGCAAACAGGAACAAAACACATTATAATATAAATAAGGACAAAAGGTCTACATAAGCTGCCTCAAACACAGGTGATGCACACCAGCCTTAACAAATAAAGGATGGGCTATTCGTAACTCCCAAACAGCTCCCTGCTTCTGTTAGCCTAGGAGAGGATGCAATCACATGACTGAACAAGGAATGCTGGGTAATGAAGTTTCATTAACATAACAGGTACTTTTCTACATTAGTTGCAGGTCTGTTGGGAGAGGGACAGTGTCCAACAGTCCAGCAATGAGACATTCCTGTGTGATTGATGATTCTAGCTGCTCAACAGTCCTGGGTCTTCTTCTCTGTTTTTTATAGTTGAGGACAGTATCAGCACCCGAACTCTTCTACTATGAAACAATGCTGTTGTAAGAGATGCAGGACAGAGTTTAACATTGTGTTGCTGAAAAAGATGTTGTCTGGAAGGGAGTATATGTTGCTCTAAAACCTGTATGACTTTTCAGATGTTAGAGCTTCCAATTCCAATTCCATAGGAACTAGTGCCATCAGAGATGCAGCCTTTAGAGTGAAAACAGCCTTTAACCAGTGAAAACAAGTTGGATGGTCTGTTTCCTTTTAGACAAAGTTTTCTGGAAGTGTTCTGAAGCCCTCGCACTGATTTCATACTAGTTTTCTATTTTCTGTTGTGAATAAAAATGGGTTAATGAAATTTACAAATCATTGCATACTGTTTTTATTTACATTTTACACACTTTACACACATTTTACCTACTTCTTTGAAAATGGGGCTGTACTACAGTAGAAAGCTAAACTGTTGACTGCCTGCACTTTGCATCTCATTTGTTAATGGGCAGGTGCTGGATCCTGCCTATTGGTGGGCAAACTAAACAACAACATGCCTTGTTTGGAGACCTTGGCCTGGAATTTAAACAGAGGGACAAAAAAAATCTAGGTCATGACAGTGTCAGACAGCAAAGCAGAAACACATCAGGCAAAACAGAGGGATGCTGAGCATTCAGAGCAATCAAAGTGACCCCTGGCTCCTGGCACTGTGACAATACAACAACACAATCCCACTGGATTAACACACAGTGGACAGTTTTGACAGACAAGCATTCAGCAAGGGGAGGGGCTGGCTAGGTGGAGGGCAAAGCAGGATGGGAGGACAGTGTTGACATGAGAGTATGTGAGTTTATGAAAGAGTAGCAGAGGAAGCTATTATCTTTGTTTTTTATATTACAGTTTGGATTCCAATGGTATGATGATACTGTAACAAGACTTTTATGCAGCAGCCTAATAAGGATGCAAATGTTCTGTCCAAGAGCAAGATATTATAAATATTGGCTCAATTGTTCAAACGTTCTAATGATTGTGTGATGATTTTTTAAAATATTTGCTTTGTGCCAGCATGATGTCCAACTCATAAAATCGTGTGCCACTGAATATGGCAAAACTAAGTCAATTGAAGATAACAGAGAACCTTTCTCTGATGGCAAGCTCTGGCTAAAATATCATAGAATTTTGTTATTATATTGTTATCGGTAAATTATATATGAATTGCTACACATATTGCCTTTGTTTTTTGCTTACTAAAATTATTTCAAGCATTATTGTGCTTTACATTACTGAACTCAAACATGCTCTATTTCTAATTCCAGCTCAGCAATTTTGCTGTAAACAAGTAAAAACTACTCATGTCTTTATGTCTGGCTACAGTTTCTGTCATGGTTCTCGACCTCCACCGTGACACACCTGGAAACAATTGGCCAGTGTTGGGGAGTAAGGAATACATGTACCGCCGTTATGTATTTAAAATACAAAATATGAGTAACTGTATTCCGTTACAGTTACCGTTTAAAAAGGTGGTATTTAGAATACAGTTACTTTGATGAAATAAATGGATTACACGGCGGTACTTTCCTGTTTCATAATGTGGTGGGTCAGGACTGTTTGGGTT